TGCCCTCCTTGGCTGGGGGTGCCGCAGCGGGCGGGGGGGGGGCCGAGCTGTCCTGCTGTAGCTCTGCGTAGATCAGGGACCCTGCCACTGCTGGGACTCCTCTTTGCCCATGGAACTCTCTCTGTCCCCTGTTGCTGGTGGCCGAGGCGCTGGCTGAGGGGGTGCAGGACCTCCTGGCAGCTCTTCGCTCCCTTGGTGGCTCTGGGTCAGTGGGTGGTGACATTAACTAGGGTAGACCCAGGCCTCTTCTCTGCCAGCGCAGACGCTGCGGGCCGTCTCTGGCAGTGACTGTTGAGACCGGTGGCTGTTTAGAACAGCCCTGCCGGCCCCTGCTCCTGGCCACTGGCACGTCCTGCACCATGGCTAAGAGCACCTGTTTCCTTTGGCAGAACTACGAGCACTTGTTCAAGGTGAACGACAAGTCGTTGGGGGGATCATTTTATGTGCAGTCCAAGGTAAGCAGGTGGCTCAGGACTCCAGCCAGCCCTGCACCATGGTCCTGGGCTGGCAGCAGGGTGGAGCTTGTGGCTTGGCTTCATGGGGGTGGCAGTGAGCTCTTGGAGCCCTACGCTGTAAGGCATCCGTGGGTTCTTGGTGTGTTTGCCTGGGTGCGTGTCAGCTGAATGAGCTGTTTTCAGGGCAGGCTGCTAGCGGGAACTTCCTGCTGGCAGGATTCAAAGGGCTTTCGCACACTCCCTACCCCCTCTGAGTCCCCTGTACTCACCCTGTGAGGCTTCATGCCATCCAGGGAGCATGTATTGCTGGGCTGGGAGTTGGTCTGGAAACTGTCCTCAAATGTAGCATGTACCTGGCTGCATAACTTGGCATCAGCAGCTGTGTCCTGATTGTGCTGCCTCCACGTGGCTTCTTTTCGCAGCACTATTGAACAGGGACTAGAAGGGCTGTCTTGTGGAAGCCTGTAAAGGGGCCTGACTTAAGTTGGGAAAAGCAGCTGTGCCCTCCCCCTCTCCCCACCTTTATGGCACTTTGAGTCACTGCAAGGCTTTTGTCCCACAGGTGGTGAGAGCCAAGGAGCGGCTGGATGAGGAGCTGCGGATCCAGGCCCAGAGCCAAAAACAGGAAGAGCAGAAGCCAGAGACATAACTCTGTCCCCTGTGTTCCCCACTAAATTATAGCTAGCCAGGAAATGTCTGCCTCCCTGTGTGTATCTGAAGCTGCAGGGCTTTGGGGCAGGTGCAGGGGGAGGCTTCTGGGATAACCCTGCAGGACAGGCGCACAGTCCTGGTCCAGTGGGCAGCACAGGATGGGGGTGGGGGGCTTGGCTCTGCTTCACTACTCCATTCCCCTAACACCGCTTCCAAGTGGTCACCCCCTCCCCCCTCCCACAGGGCTAAAAATATACCCAGTGGTCAGGTGCCAGACCACCAGTTGCCGCTTTGGCAGCATGGTGCTCCAAGGCAAAGATCTTTGTACGCATGGCTCCGAGGCAAAGCCCTGGTCCCATCCACTGAGCTCTGCACTGTTTTCTCCTGCCCTTGCATGGGGCCACTACTCTGTGGCTTGCAGTAGTGGGGGCAGAGCCAAGCAATGCGAGGGCCCTTCCTCAGGCTGGCATCTGAGGGGCAGCAGAGACCTGATACTGATTCTGCTGTAGCTGTTGAGAGTGGTGGTCGTCCTACTCTGTCTTGGGAGCCATGGGCCCAAGCAGGCAGGGAAGTGCTGGGGAAGGTATGCTGGAGCTGCCTGTGTCCCGAAGCTGCCATGAGGCTGCTTTTTGTCCAGCTCTTTCAGCCCTGGGGAACGGAGTTTGCCCAGGAGCAGAGCAAAGCCCCGGAGTTCCCCTGCCACCTGGGCTGCTGTCTGGTGCTGCCCAGGCCAGAACACTGTGGGGACATGGCTGACACTGGTTTGGTTCCTGTTTCCTAGACAGGTTTTACCACACTGGATTGTAGCCAAGTGCTTTGCCCTGCATGTATGGCCCTGTCTCCTGGGCATGACTCATTGCTGCAGGAAGATTTGAGCTGAGTAGTGGAAAAGCACTGGCTTGAGATGGAGGGCAGAGGCCACTTGGGCTCTTTGAGCCATTCCAGCCTGGCATCAGCCAAGAGACAGCACTGGGGCTGTTCTCTGCCCTTGCTGTATGCTGGGTTGCAGCCGATCATGGTTAGCCGTGCCCTCTGACTGCAGCAGCTCATCCTGTGGCCAGTGGTGCTCACTCCCACTAGATCATAAACGCATGGTCTGTCACCCGCTGCAGCAGGGGAGGCAGGCACAGGGTTTGCATGGCAAGTGCTGTCCTGCAGCTTGGGGAAGAAGGCTAAGGCTGTGCCCACAGGGGAGAGTGCTCAGGAATTGCAGCCAGGGAGAGCCCCCAGCCTCCTGGGTGATGAGGTGAAAAAGTCCTGGAAGGGGAAGAGGGAGGAGAGGAGTGGGAGCAAATGGCATTCACCCTGTGTGTTTGAGACCTGTTTCTGGGGTGCTGCATTCAGACTGGCCAAGACTCTGGATCCGAGAATAACCTGGCTAGGCCCAGCTGGCTAAGAAGCCATTTCCACTTTCCTCCCTCTCCTTGGTGCCCTGTCCTTGGTAAGGAAAGGCGTGAGCTATTCAGATGTTTCTACCCTCCCCTCCATCCTTCCTGTGCTGGGTATGGGCTGTGGCATGGCTGATGTCTGGCTTCTCACTCCAGTGGCAGCCCCAGGGAAAGTTGACTATTCCTGTCTGCTCCTGGGCTCATTCTGTTTAATCCTGGCTTGCCCCTGCTTCTTTCCCTTTTGGTCTATTTTGGAGGTAAGAGTGGCATTGATGCCCAAAGAATGGGCTTGAGTTCCAACTCCATCACAAGCCCTGTAGCAGCCAGAAGGCCAGTCATGCTGGTCCTGCATAGATGGAGAGCAGCCAGCTTGAATGGGCAGCAAGCAGAAAGGACC